GGAGGTGTGACAGTCTGAGCTGAAATCACAGCAGACATACGGAGCTGAGCTGGGCTCTGCCTCCTTTTCAGTTTCTGTGAAGGGCGGCGCATTGATTGCACAGAGCATGACAGGACTGCTGACAGCAGGAGCCAGCGCGGGAGGAAAAGTTAGAATCAGTGAACTTTGACCCAGAGGGATAGGAAAAATACACATTTCTGTCCCTCACCAAATGATGTTTTTCCATGTCCCTTATGTGCTATCAAGCAGAGAAAGCTGTGTCCTGTAATATTGATAACTTTGTACTTGATTTTACTTCTTTTTTTATGTATCACTCAATGCAGTCTCTCACTCAATGCAGTCTCTCCTTTACCAGTATTTCTGAAAGACATTTTCCTGAGGTATACCATCAGTTATCCACGATAAATAAATCTATTACTTCGGTAAAACAACTTTGGAAAGTGAAAATATGTCAGAGTTATGTTCAGAGGCTCTTCCACTGCCCCCAGGTGGCCACAAAATATCATGCTGGTGTATGCAATCTACTTACCATCTCTTCTAATGTTTTTAACACCATGGTACCTTTAATCACTAAATGATGTCTCTGTCCTCTACATTTGACTCGCCGAAGGTTTTTTTTTTTTTTTTTTTCCAGCTGATGAAGTTTAACCTATGCGCTTGCTGGAGATGGTGATTTGTAATAAACATTCTTTTTAGCCTCTGGAAAAGAATCCAGATGTTAGTGTTTCACTGTCTCTCTGTTGAAATGATGCATTTCAGCAAAACTCTTGTGTGCTGCATGCTCACGTGTGCTTTTAAGGGAAGTTAGCTGAAAAAACTGCAGATCAAAAACAATTAGTTCTTCTGTAAAACAGTTAAAGTACTTTAAAGAAAGCAACTGGATGAGAAATATAACGGAACAAATTCATTCCTAAAACAAATAAACCCATGAAATGCACTAATGCCCTTTTGCTGACAGCCAATTATCCTACTGCTGGAATCAAACACAGCTCCTCCACCTGCCTCCAGAGCTCATGTACCCAAACCGCATCCACAAAACAAGTTTAGCTTTTAATATATGCATGCTGCATGAAGTGTAGTGCTGCTGTCGGTAAGAGCTTTCAAAAATGAAGATCAACAAAATCCTAATATATCCAAAGTCAGAGCTACATCAAACTTGTTTTGTTTTCCTTCTGAGATCTGGCAGTTCTTCACCCCCCCCCCTGCAGATGTGTCAATCAACAAATAATGAGGCGTGCACGAATCCACCGTTCAAAATTTTTTTTTTTTTTCAATTCCAGCATTCCCCTCTCATTTCTCTGCTCACTCTGATACTAATGTCCCGGCCAATTAAGCAGATTGAAGCACCGTGGAGCCCAATCAGGAACGGGCCCTGTCTGGCATCTGGAGTCACCGGGTCAACAGTTTACTATTCCTGCACTCGGCGGGTGAGAGATGAACTGCAGGGCAGAAAATTAGCATGGGAAATGTGTGCTTACTCATGTATATCAAATAGAGTTCTGAAAAGCCCTTGCCTTGTTGAGAGTGCAACTGCACGGTAATGAAACGAAAAAAAAAAAAAAAATCACTTTCATTCTCTTCAGTCAGCTCTTTAATTCAAAAATCAAACCTTTCTCAAAAAGGCTTTTTATTGTTCTGCTTCAATTGGAACGGCGCATTTGCATTCTAATATTTGAGGAAACGTGAAGTGCTGAGAGCCGTTTGAGGAGGCAATTCAGACGCACTGTTCTGACTATAATAATACAAATAATTCTGAATGCCAATCTTCAAGCTGAATTACGTAGATTCATACTCAGACAGGCTCAGTATGGCCAGTGGTTAACATTTGGCTCGTTGACACCTTAGACATCTGCTTGCCAGAGAAGTGTAATAAGTGACTATGAGATGTCCATCTGGGCAAACGTATTGAAAGGAACCCTGCTGTTAAAGATGTGACCGCACCAATCGACCCCGGAGCGAGCTGGAAAATGGACTAATAGGTGAAAAAAGTCACCTGTAAACTCATCAAATACGGCAGCTTGGTCAAATAATTTCGCTCTACGTAGTTACGGCGGGAGAAAAGAGTGAATACAAAAGGACGTTCACCCAGGAGACCGCTGTTCGTGTCCTTGTGAAACCAAAAATCGACTTGGAGTACTTTAAGCCACGTAACCTCACTACATCACTCACTTTATGGAACATAACATTATGTAATGTTACGAGATCAAGTTTATAATGTAGTCACATACATAATGCATATAGTTATGTTAAAAAATGCACTTATCTTAACCTAAACCACAATCTTTTAACATAATTTGCCTAAACCTAACCAGGTAGTTTCCTGTTAAAACATTTAAAAGTTTATTTTGAAAAGAGTGTATGCATGGTGAGGTGTGCAAAACTCAGGCTAGAGGTTTATGTTGTCACAGTTTGAAGCGTAGGGCCACTGACCAAGCTGCCGTGTTTGACGAGTTGAAAGGGAGAACGTGTTGGCAGGAAAGGTGGCAGTGGAAAAGTCAATGTGTCTGTAATTCAATCTAAAAGCCCAGATTCTGCACTAAGTGACATCTTTTACATAAATTACAGCAGTATTGCACTTGCTCACAATCACATTGCCACTGCAGTGATGGTGGCAATTTAATTCAGATAACAACCTAAATGTTCCTTAACAAAGAAATACAGATCTACTTGAGGACTCATCGATACACAGGGTTGTGAAAGGAACATGGTTCATAAATAATTCAAGATCTTCTCAATAAGTTTGTGATGTCTGATGTCAGTAAATACTACAGTGCTTATGAATATATTTCACAGTTGCCATGGAGAAGACAATGAAAACACCTCAGGTTTGTATCACAGCTTTTCTATTAGAGACGTGTCTCCAAGTCTCAGCAGAGCTCGTCTCGAGGTCCTCGACTGTTTTAGCAGGCTGATTGGTAATCCTGATGAAGACTAAACTGATCTGTGTATGTATAATCAGTGGAGTGCCCCATTAATGTCTAAGTTTACCCTGTCATTAGCTGCATAGCAACAGGATTTTAAGCGCAGTGATTGGATGTTTCCTACTGCAATGCGCTCTGGGACTTTGCTTCCCTCCCAAAATATACAAGCTTGTATATTTGACTTTTTATACTTTTTAATTTCAATACAGTGTCTCATTGTTTGTACTCGACCAAGAGAAGTTAATGCTAATCTAATAGTTGGAAATGCTCCAATGACTTTTCTTCCCCTGGACTATAGAACCCTGAAAGCCTGCTACAGTAAAACTAGCTAATGACACACATTGAGATTCAGAGTGTATGGGTCTTTCAATGAAGAGAAAAGCCCTGCAGGATCTCTAGTGTATGTGTCTGTTAATCATGATGCATTATTAGTTCATAACTGCAGGGAAATAAACAGTGTGATGGTAGTTAAATCAACCATTATTGTAATCTATCAGCTGAGGAGTGACCCTACTGCAGGAACAACAATCCATCATCAGCAAACCAATAAACACACACCCCGTCTTTCAAATGATAAAGTAGTGGACCCAGATAAGGAATAAGGAAAGGTGTGTGGATTTGGTCGGCTCTGAGGTGTCTATCCTAGAATGCAGTGGAATTGGGCTCTTTTGTCTGATATCCAATGTGCAGCAGAGGGATGAGGCAATGCATCAAAGTGACAGCAGCACGGTGTGGTTCACCAGGACAAACACAAAAACAAAGCAAAACGGCACAGAACACAGGAAGAGAAGATGTTAATATGGAACACACTAGCTCATAAGCTTCACGATTGGCAGACATGAAGACTGACTGATCTGGGACAAAACAAAAGTCCCACTAGTGGCATTACAAAAAGGCAAATCGAGAGAACATACTTACTAAAATGTTTAAATTCCAAGAGCCCTATCAGTAATGTATATGTAAAGTTTATTCACACAACACAAACATGCTCAGTAAACTTAAAGACACTTTGCACACTACGTTGATATTTCTCGTGTAGGCTTACGTATGAAATTGTCCTGATGATGCAGAAACAGTCAGGTCATCAACGGATATAAGGTTTGATCTTGGTAACAATTAATAATATCATGAATGGTAAATGGACTTATGCGCTTTTCTGATGGACTGCCAAGCTTGTGATCAGTGGGCGACCTGCTCTGTCTACCTAAGATATAGTGGAGTAATGTCTATCTGAGCCGAGAATGAAGTCGTTCTCCATCTGTGTGTGTGTTGGTATTAGAGCTTCTCCTTGCTTTGTTGACATTGCCCGGCCGGCCGTGCATGCCTTTTAGTGCATGTTAGTGCATGTGAGCGTGCCCCACTGGTTAGCTCACGGCCACCGCTCTGCACCGCTGTCATACGACATTTACAGCCGGAGATAATAAACACTTAACAAAAGTACTAGCTGAGGTTGATGAAAATGTGTTTGGTCAT